TCTAAAGGCTTAGATTGAGACCTTAATCATCTTTAGTCAAGAATATATATATGAATTTCATGTTGGATTGGTTCAACTTAAGGAAATTCTATATATTGCGTTCTCAAAATTCGATTATGATTACGGCATCCCTCTTCATAGTCAAATTTTGAAAACATGGCAAATAAAAATATTGTAGCAAAAGACTGGTCTAGAATCATGTCTTTATGTGAGACATCATGAATCGTGTACCATTTGCTTTGGGTACAGGATCGATTGCATGTGCTATAATATTTGTCATTTCTAAATTTTTCCAAATGCCCTGAGGCATTAAGAAGGGAAAAGGTCTAGAATTGGATATGACTAAAATGATTAAGCAATTTTCGAGGACAATCTGAGGTTTACCAAAGATTGGTTGCTCAGGGACAGTTGGAAGTATAGTGCTAATTTGGAAGGACCATATTGACATATTCTGAAAAAGAGGCATCTCTTATTCAGAAGTGATAGTCAAAATGAGAATATGGAGTTGTCTCCATAGGTGGAAGTTATCTGTGTAAGATTAGAAAACTTAATGCAAGAAGCATGTCCAAAGCAATGTACTTTGAATATGAGACTTAGTTTCCATGGAGTTGATCTCCATTGGAATACCTTATAATGACTGTTGACAAGTCTTTGTGACTTTGTACATATTCATTACAGGAGGGTCAATGCATATAAGTTTAAAATCTAAACAGATTTCGATAAATGATAGGAATTTGAAATTCTCACATTTTTCGATAAGGATTTGGGAGTGTGAAATTAGAATCATTGAAATTATGTTCAATTGGTTTATTTCACAAAGTAAGGATCATAGACAAACATAGAGTGCATACTTGGTGTATGGCAAAGCTATTGTTTAAGAAAAACATAGTGTACATGCTTGGAGCATGGGACAACTAGTGTTTTTAATTCAAGTATAAAGTTGATAAAACCGAAACAATGAATAATGAGTAATCAGTATGGTGATAAATAAAAGTGTTTATTTATATTCATAGGGTTTGATACCATATTTGATTCATTTATTCTTGTGTTTCACTTTGCATGTTTTGACTTCCAGAATAACTAAGTCGCTCTTCCTGAATGATTATTCAAACCATCCACAGTCGGTCATATGTTGGAAGTAGATATGAATCAAGACTGTCATGGGTTGGTTTGTAGAGGTCCAAGTTGGTGGACAAAGTGGTGCTACAACACTCATGAGTGCTCATAAGTTCTGAGTATTGGATTCAACCCACGCTCATTTGAATCACTTCATGGATTTTATCACGAGTGATCATGAGACGATAATATCGTATATTCTTCAAACCTAGAGATATGAGTTGTTACTATGAGTTGGTTATACATTGATTGCACGAAAACGCATTGGTAACTCGATGTTATAAAACGTGCCTTTGTGTATGATTCAACAAGTAGTAGAACAAGCCATATGAGTCGAAGTTTATCCATTCCTTTTACCTTCGGGATAAAAGGGATATCTGTGGGCCCCTCGATGATTTAAAGATGATACATGTGAGTGCTTGGCCAAGCCAGGACTGATTTGATTTGTTCAATCAGTCAGTCATCATGAATCGGAAATCGGGAAACAACAAATGGACAGAGAGAATGATTGATAATCCATGTCTCAGTCCATATGATATCTAGAATGGAGGAATATATGATCCCTTATCTAATGGACAAGTCATTGACAAAGGTCATAGTTCATCGACAAGGTCAGAGTTCGACAGAAGCTTTTGAGAGCTACGATTGCTGATCGATTCCTGAAGTCATACGCAATAATAGTTTTAGACTTATCCAAGTGGGAGACTGTTGGATTAATGTCTAAGTCCATAACTATAATTGGTAAGACTTGACCGACCCGGCATGGTCCATTTGGGTTGCATGGCATCATGCATTTGGATAGACTATAATGAGAGAAATAACACTTAAGGTTGGTTAATATATTATAAGTTCTAATATATTAATAAGGTTATTTAATTAGTATTGATCAAGAATTAATTTGGAATTAATTAAGTGATCAAAAGGAGACTAATTAAATATATGGGTTGATTGTGTAAATCATTCATTCTTATATATGTGGGCTTGTGATCCAAGATTCCTTATGTTGGACTAAGTCCATGGGGTGACCCATGGATACTCCATGGAGGTTAAAATCCATGGAGCATAAGGAATGGGTAAAGTTATGAGTTACATGGTGTAACCCTAATAGCCACCATATAAAAGAATCACATGGCTCAAGAAATCGTGCACTAATGTGTGAATATGAGGGCTAGACGATTTCAAGGAGTTTTCCATTTCTCTCAAGTCATTCCATGTGCATTTGGTGTTGTGTGAACCATTTGAGGTGTCACACTTGGGGCACTAGGCACTCAAGCTTCATGGAGACAAGCTACATCAAACAAAGGTATGTATTATATCCATTTGATTACCCAAGTATCAAGTATTGTATGCTAGATAGGGTAATACCTTGGAAAGTTCATAATTGCATGTATAATAGAGAAAACATAGATCCAAGGTATTTAGGGTTGCATGTACACTTAGGAGTGTTAGAATGCTCAAAACCCATCAGTAAGTGCCCCCTGCACGAGTACGCCCTACATACTCCCCATGTATGCCCCGCGTCCTAGGGTTTTTCCTAAAAACCCTAATTTCTTCCGAAGGCCATTACTTCTTCATTGTAAGTCTGTTTCCGGCGAACTTTATACCCACAGAATGGTGATGAGAAGCCCTATACTTCTAACAACCCATCATAGCCTGAAAACTCGTCGAACCAAACCCAAATTTTCTAAAGAACCGGGTTAACAAATTACAATTATGCCCTTGTGCTCCGAAGCACCATCGAAACACTCAGATCACTAAAATTACATCACCTACACCCAAAAGGGAACAATTCGGGACAGGGGGTTACAATCATGTATTCAATTTGTGTTACTGTGATTTGGGTCCACATTCCTTCACTACAAATAAATATTTGAACCTTATCATTTATGATTTTATTTTTTTCTTAAAAGAAATTATATTTCATGATATAATATATCAACTCAAGAAATTGTGACATTCTACCATGAAACTATAGTATCATAAGAAATTATATTTCTACCACACACACCCCATGTATGTATACACATACACACATACATAATCACATCCAACCACACACAATCACACGCATACACAACACTAACACATGACTAAGTCACACGTAGACACACAGACATAATCACATGAAAACATACAATCACATGTAAACACACACACATACAATCAAATTCACAACCATAAACACATAATTGGTTATAATTTAATACTTTGAAAACCCCACTAACTATAATAAGATATACTTACAATATAAATTATGAAAAAATTATAAATAAAATTCATTTCGGATTGTGAAAATGAATATATAAAAGAAACTAATATTTATATGTTTTCACAACCTACATATATGAAAATGAATACATAAAAAAACAAAAAATCAATTTTAAAAAAAAAATTAAAAGGTAAAATTATAAATAAGAATATACATAAAAGGGATGAAACCATATAACAAAACAAACCAAGTTCTAGAAAACATATCAAATAATTTTGGCAATTTTAATAAAGAAAATTTGAACCAAATTCGAGAAACAATTAAGAAAGGATAAAAACTGAAAACTATACACTACTATAAAAATATTCTTTATTGACATGCATTGCGTGTCATAAAAGCTACAGATGACATGCAAATGTATGTCAAGAAAGGCCCCATCATAAAGGAAGGTGACACGTATTTACGTGTCATAACCTTACGAAGCGCATTTACGACACGCTCTTACGAAACACAATGTGTGTCAAGTAAGACCCTGTCATAAAGGAAGACGACACACATTGGCCTGTCATAACCTTACGACGCACATTTACGGCACGCAATGTGTATCATTAAATCAGTTGTCATAAATGAAGATGACACGCTTTTGCATGTCATAAACTTCAGTAACCATTTACAATACACGTTTATGACACACATTTACAATGTGCATTTACAATACGCATTCACAATGTTTATTTAGCCATAATACATAAACAAATATATACCAAACATTCAATTTCATCTAAATGTCAAACAAGTTATCAAATACATTATATTACACTACATCTCAAAAGAGGATGATACCTAACATTCACGCAGTTAACAAAAAAATGTAAACCACATGTCAGAAGATTATGCTACCTAGCATTTCACGGTTAACAAAAAATATTGTTTGTGGATACAAAATTTAACCAATAAATGAAGCCTGTAACAAAAGTCGACCATTCTTCTCGGATTTCATCAATATCATCATTTGTGTATTCATTTATGCCACCCCGACCTGAGAAATAAATTGCATATAACGTTTCAGTTATAAAAAATGGTCCTTTCTTTAACAGTGAGTATGTTATATTCAAAAAATAAACATAAAATGTAAATTCTACTTTCTTATTAATGTATTGTACTTTCAAATAAATGAAAGTATGTTGTTATTTCTTTCATATAAATTAATATTTCAATTATAATTGTTAGAGTAAGATTCTATATTCAAAAAATTACCATAAAATGATCATTTTTTTCAATTAAGTTATTATTAAATTAAAGTAGTGAAAGTATAATGCTATGCTTACATTGTCATTGACCAACACTTCAATTCCTTCCTCAATTATCTCCTTCATGAACTTTAACATGTAGTAGCCACATTCGATACTTACGGGCTGACCTAGACACTACACAATTACATATAAATGATCATTGCAACATTGATCCAAATAAGAAAGTTAAAGCTGCAATATCAATCAGGAATTAAGTGCAGACAACAACATTGACCAAGTTTAGTTTAACCCTCTTGATGGATCCACTTTAGGTAGCGTGTAGAACCATTTCACTATAAAAACATTTAGAAATAGTTATTAACTATCTTCACATCAAATGTTTTGATAATTTATATTACTTACGAATCAATAATTTGCTTCAACTACAAATTGACATTGCTGGAACTCAAGGAATCACGATAATAGCAAGTAGCCAATTTCATGTCTAGCACAACCAACACCCAATGTCTTCTACAAAAACCATAAACCAAATTATGTCAATTAACACAATTGAGGTCATTTTCAAAATAAAAAGGTATTTATTGTATTCAACATCAAATGGCAAAATGAAACCTGAGATTGTAGGATAATAGGATGATGTCATTGCCATTTCTTGTAGACAACTGATCTGCAACACTTCTACTAGCATCATCAATATTCTTTGATTTCCCTTTATGATTACTTGGCGAGAATACAATTGGGTTCACGCAACAAATTCCATGATCTCTTTCTGGCGGGCCATACTTGATTTTGTTAAACAAGATGTTGTTAACGTACAACCACTAAATTCATTAAATAAAAGTTGTTTTAAGATCTTGTTATTTAAATTGCACTTACATCATATAAGACATAATGACAACACCAATCAACTCATCCAATGTAAGCAGTGCTTCAAAATCATCCCAATTAAAGTACGTGTAACTGTCGTGCCTAAAAAGATCGTTATCTCACTGCACTTTTATGGAATCAACCTTTGAAACTTATCCATCAACCATACTTGCAATCATTTTCAAAATACTACTTTTTTCAATTATTATCCTTTTCTTCATTTGTGCTCTCGTCCATCTTTTTTGCATGGTCTCATTTTGTATCTCCATTTCTTTTCTCTTCTTTTTACTCTTCTCCTTTTCATTTTTTTCTCCATTTATTTTCCCTTCTCTTTACTCTTATCTTATATTCTCTTCTCTTTTTCCTGATCACATGGTTCTTCTTTTACAGGTGTTGCATGTTTTTTTCTCTTTTATTACTTCATATTTCTTCTTTTACAAGAGTTGCATGTTTGTTCATGGGTTTGGCCGCCACTCTTCCCAACAAAAATTATAAATAAATCTCAATTTGTTTCAACATATCAATCAATTAATACACAAATAAGTAGAATGTAGGAATAAGATGTTAGTTAGCTAGTTAGTTGAGTTGTTTTGATTAAATGTGTTGTGTGTTTTGTATGGTGTGAAGCAGATTAAGTAGCAGCAGATGATGAATCTAGTGGAAAGCAACATTAACCTATTGTTCTTCTCAAAGGTGCAACTTTCAAGTAATTATAACGTTTACTAAACTTTTAGAATAAATTACGGAAATAGTCCCTGTGTTTTCGTGAAATTCAAAAATTTAGTTTGATTTTGGATTTTCTTGCAACCTTGGCCTATATTAGAGAATTTCATATTATATTAAACTTGTAACACCAATAAAATGATTTTGTTAAGTTTACTGGAAATCCACATTGATGTTGATTTACATGAGTTAAGTTTGACATCAACAGTCAACACAACCTTTTTTTTCTAAAACAGGTTGTATACTTATCTGCTAAGGTTGTTTGCAATATGTTTTGTTAAATATGCTTCTTAATGGCTTCAATTTAACAAGAGTTGCAATATGTTTTGTTAAATATGCTTCTTAATGGCTTCAACAATCAACACATTGATGTTGATTTACATGTTTTGGACTCGGATGGGTAGCAAAAGCTATGTAAATGATGTTTTCTTAAATATACTTCTAAATGGCTTCAGTAAGTTATGTTTTTAGTCCCTGATTATAGTTGATATTTGGAACATGGACCAAGAATTGTTATAAAAACTGTAAATAAGGACAAAGTTGCAAAGGTTAAGTATCCTTGGAGGGAATCTATTAAAACCAAAATTTACAATTGGATATTGGAAATCTGTTAATGCACTGTTTCAAGATGAAACCTATTAAATACTTTGAAAATTTTATGGTTATATACTTTATCATTGTGAGGAAAAGGAGAAATAGAATGAAATATGCATTAAATATGTGTAAATAGTATTACCAGGTCAGAGCATCGAATAACTAGGTGTCTCGGCCAACTTAGTATGTGCCCAAGTGCATCTTTGACCTTCAAAATGAACTCTTCTTCGAGTGGAATGAGTAGTAAAGCGTCTCCTTGTAAAGGGATTTCAATCATAACCTGAATGTTTTCATCTATTACAGAAAGGTAAAAAGTAATTAAGATACAATTTTCTAAAAAATATATATAATATATAAAGTAGCAATAATGCAAATATTTTTCATAATACCCGACACACTATACTTCATTATAGTTCCTTTATCGACTACATTAGACAACGTCAACTGCAAGAAGACATGAATTATCCTACAAATATAGTATGTTAGTTTGTAGCAAAGACTTACAATGAATTCTTACTTTTAAAATATACTTACAATGGATTCTTCAAGTGGTTCATTTTCAAAATCTTCAAATATTGCCCCATATTTGTATAGTGGTGATTTGGGTGTTTAAGAGATGCATTCGATCATGAAAGGTGTTACAAAAAAGTATAAGTTAGATCTAGACAAATAAATAGCTCACACTAACACTCTCAATGTTACATCTCTCAAGCACACCTCTACAAGTGGTATGAACCACCTTATATAGAGGTGTTTACATGTATCTCTCTCTCTTTCGATCTCTCGTCTCACAAGGCTACTCTACCACATGCAAGTGGGTCTACATGAGTCTAACCACTACAAAGTCATACATGGATAACTTTGCATCCCAACATTTTCCCCCTCAAAGTTAGGAACGGATGACCCGCTTCAATCTTTCAAAACCGAGCAACTCCACGAACCAAGCCTCAAACATGACACATGTAGAGATGAACTTCAAATCTTCAATTCTTCAATGATTTTTCCAATCCAGGTTCTAAAGTGTGATACCATACAAACCGAGCATCAAAGGATAATTAGGAGTATCCAAATCTCCAAGAAAAATTACCCAAAAGTTGAGCATAAAAGCACACCCCAAAAATCCTCAATAAATCCAAACCCATCATGAACCGGGAAAACCCAAATCACTTCCGAATCTCCAATCGAATCATTTCATAAACTTCAAATGCCCAAGGTCACTTTGGTCTTCAAGTACACGTAATATGAAAAATTTAACTTTCGGATTCCCATATTTAATTCTCTCCCCCTTTTTATAATCGGAAAATGATTATAAAACCAAAAAAAGGGAATGAGAAAGCGCTCAATTTGGAATTTTTCTATCAAAAACTCCCCCTTAACACATGGCATAAACATACTGAATAAATCCAGAAAATCCAAAAAAATCTTCAATTTTCGAATTCGTTCACAGACCGCCATTGACAAAATTTCACAAATCTGGGTAGAAATTGTCAATTTCGAAATTCTGCAGTGACCCGGTGTGCCCAAAACAACCTAAAATGCGAAACACTACTCCATTTGCGAAACTGGGCATAAAGTGTCGATTTGCATTAACTGCAGGGGACTGTTTCGAAAAATCCTCCACTTCTTAGAATTTTTAGCCCAATTTCTAAGTTGGGTAAATTCTGCTAATATTTCGATACATTAGGGATTCGAAACAAAAAGTCTGCATTTAACACAAACTTTTATCCCCATTTCGAATGTGGACCTTTTCTGTCACTTCTTTGAAAGTTAAAGGATCCGAATCGACATGTTTCGTTTCTTCTTCACCTCACTTCGAAACCGGATACGATCCATGACCATGTCGATACCCAATCGATCTTCACAACCAAGCTTTCGAAACCAATCCGTTTTCAATCAATCCCCCCATTTCAAAAAAAACAAACCATAACCCTATTTTGAAATCTCAATGCTCAGCCTGCGAAATCCAACATGTTACCATCAACATCAAGACTTTGAGACCCCAAAATCAAATTCCCAAATACATAGACTTCTCTTTTAGTTTGTTTGATTCTTGACTCCAATAACTCGTTCGCTAACAAAATTGATCGACCCAAGCCTTCGAAATATGATCAACCCAACACACATATATCCACTACTTCGATTATCGACTCCAAAATTCCATTTGTTGTCTTCCTTATTTCGATGTCCAGTACATGACTCGAAATTGATATCTGATAAGAATTCCAACCTTCGAACCATCTATGATTCCCATTTCAGTCGATATCCAAAAGCAAAGCTCCAAATAATGACCTTATGTGCTATTCGATTTTGACTTCCAAAAAACATCAATTCGTCATTCCTAACTCGTTCCCAAGTTGATTTCAAGATGCCTTCGACATCAAAATCTAAAATCAACTTAATCACCACGAATTGATCCTTCGAAATCAAAACTTAACTACTTTAGATTTTCAAGTATCCTACTTCGATATCAACATCAACCACAATAAGGCTTCGATGTCCAAATCATTATTCAAGTATCAAACGTCATTCACGTCTCAGCCTTTGATATCAATAAAAAGAACTCAACCCATTTCGAAATTAAATCCCAAATTAGACTTGATTTCAACATCAGTAACCTCAAAACAACTTGTATCTATCAATTTCAGCCACCAATTCACAGAATCACCTCTTGACAATCATGTTTGACTTTTTCGAAATCAATAGTCAACAAACATGAAATTGTTGATTCTAACATCCAATTTCATATCAAAACAAGTTCAATCAACTGTTCTTCATCATATTCATGTGTTCTTGGTCAAGTTCATCCAAATCAAAAGACCAATTTCCGATTTCTTCACTTTGACTTGATCATAATTGATTTTCGTAATAGAACAAATCGATTCACAAGTTTATAATCACAAACAAAGTTAAATCGACTAACACAATCGATTATTAAGAACAATGATAAGAAAAAGAAACTCAAGAACAATAACGCAATAGATGAATCGGAGAATGTATAACTCTTATATGCACAAGATGAAGAACAATGAATCAGTGAATCGTATAGCTGATTTTAATGAACATTTAGGCTTTTTTCAATATATTGGATCGAAAATTGGGCTCAATATTTGGATACAAACAGTAATTGATTTTAATTTTGGGCTGATGATCATTGTCGAATCAAAATATTTTGGCTGAATTCAAAAATGAACAATATCAAATTCCAAAAATGAATAAAAAATGATTTTTGGATAAAATCTTGATTTAAACAAAAAATTCAATCGAGAATCAACTCGAACAAAAGAATAGGATTGGATCGGGCTTGATCAATGAAAAAAATTATTGGATCATAACAAATGGGTTTTTCAAAAAAAAATTTGATCCAATGAGTCAAAATGATCAAAATATCAAGAAGCAAGCACGAATCAAACAGATTTAAATAGATCATCGAGAGACTCACCATAAACGTTCCAGTTGTGTTGAATGTAGCCAAACCGAGAACCGTTTTTTCAAAAAATCACTTTGATCTTCGAAGACTCGCTCTAATACCAATTGATGTGAATTATGAGCATTGATTTGGCATGCGGAATTAAAGAACACACAAAGAACATGGTGATTAGGAACATTACATACACCTCTTTTTAGTTTCTCTAAGTCATATTCAATTTTGTTGATTCGTTTATCCTCCCTCTCGTTCTCAATTTCCAAGTAATGCTTAACATGCTTAGGTAAATAATAGTATTGTTGTGGCATTATATATCTACCTATCCCGCGTACACGCCCACGTTGCTCCTCAGTACCCAAGGCCTCTGTAAGCATACCATGTGTTCCACATGTAACCTCTCCCAAACTTCCTGATTTCTGCAGCTCATGTATAAAAAAATGGGACAAATGTTAGAAAAAATGGGACATATTGTGTGTGAATCTACGGACGGATTCATGTTATCTTTTTTTATGTTTGACATTCAATGAAACTTAAAATTCTATCAACAATCATCTTGACATTTGAGTCGTACCCTCCTATTTTCAATTCTATTTCTTTTTTTTCACAACATTGTCCTATCAATCTCCTCTTCCGTCTTGCCAGTTTCTTGCATCTAAATTATAAAGAATAGCAAAAGTCAATTAACATAAATATATAAAACTAAAATATTCAATAATTAGTGGAATTCGTACAATGTCATTAATGATTCTGACATATCCTTTTCTGCTCAAACAATGATTGTATTTATGATGTGCACAAACTTTTTTTTTTATCTTTCTTACTTTTTTTCCTGCAATAGAAACATTAAAATTGTAATGCGTGTTTCTACAACTTAATTACATTGAAAAAATGCAACTACAAAAAGTTTAACGAACCTTCCACTTTTTTGTAACTCTTTGGGATACAAATATTTTCCAATCTTCTTTCTTTACAAATGGATAATCTTTCAAAGGTGTGAGTAGATTTTCCTTTGGATCTTCACTTTGATTCTTAATTAACTTGGCATATAGATAATGTTTGAATTTTCTCCACTTCTTCCCGATTGATTGGAGAGTGTGCTTCCGGCTCTTTGGGTTAACTACAAATTTTTCCAGAAGCATAAAACATAAACAATATTATTTTCAACAAATATAAAAAAAAGATAATTTGAGGTTAAGATCAGATTACCAGACTTACCAAAACATATTGCCATAACTCATCCTTTGTTTCATCACTAACATCCAACCAAGAGGCATAATTTATGGGCACCATCGTCCTTCCAACCAAACCCTCAAAAGTAGATAGTTTTGTGGCTTCATTTCCAACTGGGACACCCTTTCTATTGTAAGGTATTACAAATTTCGCTTTATTAGCTTTTGATTTTATCGACAGACCTCTTTGTTTGGAGTCCTCATCATGATCAGAAGAAGAATATGATTCCATGTCACAAAACTACCTGTTTCAACAAGATTCAAATAAAATGGTTATTTACAACATGGAAACAATTAAGTACGTTGTTATTTGTTGCAGTTGGGACAGAATTAATCACATTTAATTTCTAAAAAAACATACCAAAAACTTTATTGTTCTGCAAAAAATTGTTTAAACTAATATGCCCTCGCCATCCGGCGCATACACAAAAAATCATCATCAAAGTCTAATAAAGCGGAGTCTTGTGTTAAATCAATACTAGCATCAATTTCCAACATATCATCAGTTTCATCATTTACTCCATACTTATACATCTTATTTGGTGTGAAGCCAACAACATGCAAATTCTCATTTTGTTGATCTTGAACATAAAAAACTTGTTTGGCTTGATTAGCTAATAAGAAGCGTTTAGACTATTGACCAAGCCTATCAATGTTAACTACTGTGAATTCTAAATCATCCTTTTTTATTCCACGAATTTCAACCCAATCACACATGAATACTAGAATAGTAAACATGCAATAATCAAGATCCCATATCTCTTTTTTACGACTGAAGTAAGTAACAACACCATACAGGGGATTGGAGTCTTTTGCACTAGCAATCTACATAGTATGTGCAACTAAAGATACTCCACTGCATTGAATTCTTATAGATTCATCTCGAGATGTTTTATGAAAATTATACTCATTTATGGAAAACCTGCTATATTTACTAACAGCAAAAATAGGCCCTCTGGCCAGCTAACGAACATCGTCACAAATATCTTCCCCGTTAGCCAAAAGTTTTTCAATCTATTAGAAATATCTAATTAATGTAATTCAAACAAAATACTTAAAAATATTGTAAATCTAACAAATTTATTTTAAAAATAAACTTATTTCTTAAACCAACTATTAAATGTCCAACTTTGTTGGCTCTGCAACCATGTACTCTTTCGAGAGTCATGGGGGTTGAGATCCTTCAATTCCAACATATGTTGTCTGAATTGTATTAGAAGTTAGAAGAAGTTTTATATAATAGATAGAGTATAAAGAATATACAGTCTCGTGTAATTGTTACTCTATATACGGCTCCACAACAACAGTTTTTCGTAATACATAAAGATGAGCTTGATCAAGTAAGTTAGCATCTACAACATCGATTGTAGCCTGCGATAAAGGCTTTTCGGTGCGGATTCTTTCATCAACAGGTTCATGAGGATTGCTAATTTATTTCATGTTTTTTAAGTAGTCTAAACAAAAAATTAGGGCTTCCTATGCCACATAACACTCTACAATGCAACCCTTGGGTCGATAATGATTTCTTACATACCCTTTAAGTGTCTTCATGTATCTCTCAAATGGATACATCCACCTAAAAGGAACCGGGCCACACAACCTCCCCTCTCTAACTAAATGCACCATCAAGTGAATCATGACATCGAAAAATGAAGGAGGAAAGTACTTCTCTAACAAGCATAAGGTTAATATGATGTCACTTTGCAACTTGCATGTCTTACTAACATCAACAACCTTACTACAGAACTCGTTGAAAAAATTGACAAAAACTTAGGATTGTTCTCTGCACCTTCATGTCTAACACCCCTTTGATTGATAAGGGGAGAAGTTTTTGCACTAGTACATGACAATCATTAGACTTCAAACTATTCATCTCTGAAACATCATCCAACATGAGATTCTTGAAATTAGAGAAATATCCATGAGGCACTTTTATGTTACATAGGGTGTCATAAATAGGTGTTTCTTTGAGGTATCCAATGTGTAGCACGCAGGCGAAAGCCAATGTCGATCCCCTTTTGGCCGACTCTGTAATTCAGGCTTAGTGCCCAACGCTTCAAGATCTTGTCGTGCTTTTAATCCATCCTTCGTCTTGTGAGGAAAATATAACATTGTCCCATAAACACTCTCGGTCATATTTTTTTCTATGTGCATGAGATCTAGCTGATGAAGAACATGCAACTTCTTCCAATAGTCAAGTTAAAAAAATCGACTTTTTATGCCAAAAGTTTGCTCTCTCATCGATGCTTTCCTTTTTCTTCTTTGACATTTTCTTCTTTGGCGTTTCCTTCTTTGACGCTCTCTTCTTTGAATTTATCTTCTTTAACTTTATCTTCTTTGATCCTATCTTCTTTGACTTTATCTTCTTACCCCACGTATTCTCAAATCCCGCTAGATAGTCATAAATATCTTCACATGATGGTGGTTGGTGCATAAAATTGTTCTCCGGTTGATTGTTGAAATGTTTTTTTTCTTTTATGAAAATGATGTTCAAGTGGGAGGAATCTTCTATGCCGAAGGAAACATACTTTTTTGGACTTTGGCAACCATTGTGAACAAGTATTCTTCAAACATATTGGACAAGCATAATAACCTTTGGTAACACACCCCGACAAATTATCATATGTGGGAAAATCACTTATAGTCCAAAGTAATATTGCTCTTAGATTGAAGTATTATTTCTTATAAGCATCAAATTTCTCAACGCTAGTTTCCCACAAGAGTTTTAGATCTTCAATTAATGGTGCAAAGTAGACATCAATATTGTTACCAGGTTGGTTTAGCCCTGATATCAACAGAGTCAACATCACGAATTTTTTTTTGACATGCACAAATAAGGGGGTAGATTATATGTTAGTAGGATAACCAACCAACAACTATGATCGGAACTTAATGACTTGTGAGGATTGATACCATCAACAAACAAGGATAATCTAAGATTATGTTTTTCTTGTCTGAATTCTTTCCACGTGCTATCAACAAGCTTCCAAGAACGGGTATTGCGAGGATGAGTCAGCTTTCCATTATTGACCCGACCTTGTGCATGCCAAGTTAAGTCATATGCAATTTGTGGTGATGAAAACATTCTTCTAAATCTAGGTATGATAGTAAAATACCACAAAAATTTTAAAGGTATGTTTTTGGTATTCTTTTTTCCAACGAGACGTGCCACAATTTGGACATTGAGAAGCATACTTATGTTCTTTCCATAATAGAACACAATCGTTTTCACATGCATGAATCTTCTCATATTGTAGGCCTAATCCTTTTAGCAACTTCTTGGACTCATATATCAAGCTAGGGATGGTATTGTTTGATAGTAAGATATCTTTTAGGACACATAACAAAGCATCAAAACTAGCATCATACCAACCAGATTGACCCTTCAAATGTTGGAATTTCAATAATCCACTAAGTGTATTATATTTTGACCCTACATAAAGTGGCTTATCACATTCTTCAAGAAGTGATTTCAATAAATCGGGTTCTTTCTCTGCATATTTGAAGGCATCATGTAGTTATCCTTTGTATAAATAGCATCAGGAGGAATGGAATTATTAGGGCATATAGAATCAATATTGGGTTGTTTTTCTCCATAGAAAGACCAAATCTTTTAATTTTCATCAAATACGTGGTCAAAACAATGATAACAGACATTGTCAATCGAGTAGTGACACAAATTGATACAATTTACACAAGGGCATGGAATAACATCTAACTTTGGATTATTACTTTGTGAAAACTCTATAAAAACATTCACACCTTCATCATATGCATTTGATAATCTACTATAGGAAATCCATTATTTATCCATTAAACATCTGTTACCAACCTACACAATTATTTACCATTTAAAGAAACAATGTGTGACATCTCCAAATTCACGGTCGTTTTAAAAAATTTATTTATGCTTATTTGAAAATAAGAGTATTCATTTTAAAGAATAATGTTGCGGAATTTGTTCCTAGAAAACATGATAAATATAATATCAAAGCATTTCCGAAGAAATGTATTTTGTTTATATTAAAACTTTGGGATTTCATCCTCAGTACAGAAACATAAGCATAAACAGACCTCACATTCATTTACACTAGTGATTTTACATCTCCTTTAATTTCTTAGTGTAATGTAGCTTCGTATCGACACTTGTGATACAAATAAACTGAGTGGGTCAGGTTGGGAAACATGGTGAGTACATAGGGATTTCAATCCCACAATGTTATATCATATATATATATATATATATATATATATATATATATATATATATATATATATGTTTTAAAACTCACAATATATACAATTTCACCTCATATAAGCAATTTTACCCCCACCCCGTCGATGCTTACGACGACATGATCTATACTCTCGGATCTAAAGTTAATCTTTTCACCTAATCCATACTCCCTGATCAGTTATATCTAATCCATGCTCTCGGATCAATAACTATGTCCACTCCATACTCTCGGACTAGGAACAATTGACTATGTCTAACCCATGCTCTCGGATCAATAACCATGTCCATTCCATACTCTCTGACTAGGGAAAATTTACTATGTCTAATCCATGCTCTCGTATCAATAACTATGCCCATTCCATATTCTCGGACTAGAGACAATTGACTATGTATAATTCATGCTCTCGGATCAATAACTATGCTCATTTTATACTCTCGGACTAGGGACAATTGACTATGTCTTATCCATGCTCTCGGATTAATGATAAATCACTATGTCCTCTCCATACTCTCGGACTAAGGACAAATGACTAAGTCTAATCCATGCTCTCGGATCAATGACTAGTTTTAAAGTTCTACCCTCCATGTATATCTCACTCGTACTCATAAGGATATACTACTCAATATTCCTATTAATTAATTTAGGTTTACTCTGTATCCTAAATCATCATATATTATCAAATATGCTCTTAACACATATTTTAGGCAATATCAATTATTTCACACACAAACATATATTTAGTACTTTAATCAATACTTGTATTAAAATCATGTTCATGAAAGGGATTATGCACTCACTTGTTAAAGTGATGATTCCAAACTCGGGCAGCGCTTCGCTTCTAACAATTCTATTTTCCTTCGACGAAACCTATTATCATTACCGCTAGATTTTAGTCTAATATTGATCGCAACTATTTAAGAGCGATATTGTTATATGAGTGTTAAGCAATACTTTTCAACTACTATGTATAGATAAGGGCCAAACATGAAACACC